GTGTGTGTGTGTGTGTGTGTGTGTGTGTGTGTGTGTGTGTGTGTGTGTGTGTATGTGATCTTTGTTCATGAGGAACCTCCTGCTGTGATCCCCTTGGAGTGACCAGATGACCAGACACTCAGGTCATTGGCCTAAGTGGTGTTCCTGAGCAGGCTACCTAGAACACACTGGGGACAAGATGTCACAACTTTTCCTCGACTTCCTGCTTCTGACTTCAGCCTGTCTGCAAAGAGCTAGTGCCAGGGACTGGGACACAAGGAATGGACACAAAGTCTTGGGACAAGCAGCTACAATCTTGGATAGGGATAATTTTACTGTGGTCATGACAAGCCAAACCCTTCAGCCCTTTCCTCTCCATGCCTGTCCTGTAGGCAAACCAGGACATTAAAAGTCTCTATCTCACCGTGTGTGGTAGGAGGGCAGGACAAAGAATAAGCATGGGATCTGAAGGACTCATTAGCCACCAGGAAAGCTGAGCATAGTCTCTGAACTTCAGTTTTCTCATTAGAGAACTAGCTGGTGGTAAGGGCTAGATCTGAGAACATATATAATTCACTTATTATTAACACACAATAAACACTATATAAATGTTCATTCCCTGTGCTGTGTGCCTCCAGCTTTTGATTAAATGTCTTTGAGAGGGTATGCACTTGGATTTTAGGAAAAGCTAACATCTTCCTGATCCTGTTCTGCATCTTGTATCCATTCAGCGATGTATGTTTCTTGATATGTCTCAGGGCTGGGTTTGATGTTGTGAGAGGTACAGAGAGTTGCCAGACAGATCTCTGTCCTTAAAGAGATCACATTCTAAGCAAGTGCCCAAGAGTACACTAATGGTACACAGCATAAGCCAGGAAGATCAGGGTTCCCTCATCCCTTCTTTGTTCCTGGTGATGGGGAGGGCAGAGCAAAGTGATTGAAGGGGTCTGGGAAGGTTTGCAGAGTGGAGATTTTGTGGAGGCACCGGGACAGGAGCACAGCCTCAAAGAATGGGTAGGAAGCTATGCTCATGTTGAAAATTGGAGTGATTTTTGGGAATAGCAATAGGCTCAGGGCTCCATCCCCAGTCTCAGATTTCATGCTAGGGTGGGGCTGGCTGAGTTGGAGCTTCAAACAAGGGCTCTGGAGAAAGTTCTCTACCAGGGTGAAGTGAGGCTGGTGGGGAGCTCAGCCAGGCCTGAGGTGGCTGAGAGGTCCTAACGCCTGACAAGGCCAAGCTTCAGGGTCAGATCAGGCCTTCTTGGGTGTGACTAATATCAAGGCCCTGTGGCCCACCCCTGGAGGAGACTGGACTGGTGTACATATACCTCTGCTAAGCCCTGTCTGCTGTCCTCCTCCAGCTTGTGGCAGGTGTCTGTCTCTGCCTCCTTTGGAAGGGGCTGGTACACCCCCCCTTCCTCCTCCTCCCTCTTCCTCCACAGCCTCTTCTACATCCTCCTGCATCCTCTTCTCACACAGAGAACTAGCACTGAAAACTCTTTGATTTTCCCCAACTCAAATGGGACCTTGCAGTTTATTCTAAACATAGCCAGGCCTCATCATCTGAAATGATCTCTTTAGTTTCTGTTTGCATTAGATTTATTTATTTACTTTTGTAGATGGGGGTCTCACCAAATTGGCCTTGAACCCATCATCCTCTGCCCGCAGCCTCCCACATGCTAAGATTACAGGGGTGAGCCACAGCATCCACTTATGGTGGCTGTTAAAGTAAGGACAAAATTTAAGACCCTTGATGTCCTGGAGAAGGTTCTGAACTTTTGGGCCAGAAGCCAACCTGGGGTATTGATGTGTTGTAAGGCTGATTCTACCAAGCCTGCTCTCAGGTTATTTACTGGAAGCTCTGGTTTCTTATGTTGAATGCCGAGCCTTGGACGAGGACTTCAGAGACTCCCTGCCTAGTGTCTTACCACTGACACATCTAGCTTTCACTTAGACCTCAGGCAACAGCCGGTTTGTCTGCAGAAGGAGTGGTGGACTGTACTTACAGCTCCCTCTCACCACCCTCACCCCTGGGACTTTGTGGCCCATGTATGGAATCCAGAGGAAGCACATGATCTTATCTCTCACCAGGCCACATTCCCTCTTCCAGACATCCTGAGTGAGTCACTCCACTTACCTAAGACCCTCTTCCCTGCCTGAGTCACCCTTACTTTTTAGGTGCCCTAAGGGTAGAGGAAAACGTCTCTATGGGCCCTAATGTTAGGGACCGGTTAGATGCCTCAGGAGGAAGGGACTCTCATTTTATTTTGAGACAGGATCTCACTGTACAGCTGTGGCCAGCCTGGAACTTGCTTTTAGACCATGTTGGCCCGGAACTCACAGAGATCTTACCTGTCTCTGCCTCTTGAGTGCTGGGATTAAAGCATGTGGCAATACTGCTGGCAGGAGAAGGGACTCATGAATTCTGTTTCTCTAGTGATTTGGGGAAAACACTGGTGGTGGTGGCAGGGAGCAGGCCACTTCCTGAGGAGGTATATGGAGGCAGCTTAGTAGCTCTTTCTTCCTCCCGACATATGTGCACTGCTCTGTCCATTCCTAGGAGCCCCTTTCCTTTGAGGAAATGCTTTTTGTTTTCTTCTCTTATGTGTAAGAACACACTGGAACTCCCACAGGGAATGCCTTGTATATATTTGTATGTGAGTCTTTGCTTCATAGCAGGTCTGTTCACCTGTGAGTGTTGGGTCCTTGTGTGAGCACAGGCACAGTTGTGCACCGGTGTGTAAGTGGACAAAGGAATGAGTCTATTTGCATAGTCTGGGGCTATAAGTACTTCCTCCTTTGGCTACAAGTCTGCATTCATTGAGAAGAATACATGCCTTTCCTGCATACCAGGCCTTGGAGCTCCATCACACCAGCCAGGCTCCACTCAGGAGGTGAGACCTGGCCATGCCAAGGGGAGGGGACTTTGGAGTCCAGAAGCTGACCTGGGGGACAAAGATTACTCTCTAGGTCCACATGCATATTGATATGTGTGTCTCTGTGATCTTTCCCTTCCAGCCCTGGGCCTGGCTT